GCGAGGTGCTTGTATTTGAAGGCCCTTGAAGCCCCAGCGGACTGTGGTGGGACGGGAGGTGCAGCCACAGATTCAGTGTGGGCATAAGACGAGTTCAACAGAAGGTTGGGTGGTCCTGGCAGCCCAGGAGTAGGATCTTAGCAGACTCCCATCTGCCGTGAAGTAGACTCCTAACATTCCCGCCAACTGCAGTCACGGGAGCTTTGTTCCTTTCTTTCTGTCCTTTCACAGTTGGCAGAGGTCTTGTCTTTGGGCTTAAAGGGTATGGAACAGGCCCCTTGTTCCTGGGGCTTGAGCTCATGGTGTGTCTTGTGGCTAGGGCATTAGAGTACTGGTTTCTTTCTCACCCTGTGGTCCATCAGCACCTCTTCATTGATTAAAAGGGAAGTGAACTTTGGAAACAGAGACTCTGGGAACACAGAGTAATCCCGAGGAGAGAGGTGCTAGGGAACAGGCAGCTGGCAGAGAGGGGAAGGTAACACCTCCTTTTCTTAATGGTTGGACTCAATGATCTTAAAGGTCTTTTCTGTGATTCTGTGATTCTTCCACCTGCTGATCCTCCTTTTAAGTTCCTTGATAGGACATGATTTATGGAGGGCACAAAGCCACTACCATGCACTGTTGAGGTAGGGAGTTGTGGGAGGGATGAAGCTTCAAAATTTTTTTAAGGACCTGGGCTGGGACTCCATCTTGAAGTCTTTTGCTCCCCTCATCAGGCAAGCGAGCGGGAAGGGCACCATTCAGAGGTGCAGGAGATGCTGGAGCAATGGAAAAAAGAGAAGGCAGAGACAGAAGGGGAGCACGAGAAGAAGCTGTTTGATATGAAGCAGAAAGTTGCTACCATGCACGCTCAACAAGAAGAGGAACGAATCAGAGTTGAAAATGCCAAGCAAGAGGTAAAGACTGTGAAAGGAGAATTTGTCTGGTTTTTTGCAAGGCTAGAGCTGTGGAAGGTCGGTGGGTATCAGGCTGTGTGGAGCATGTCCTGCATTGAATTTGGTGAGGTGAAAGGTGAGCAGGACTATCTTTGGGAGTGGGAATGAGACCTATCATAGGAAGCCGGGCAGAAACATCACGTTTCATTTTAGATTTTTGTGCTGCCATTTCGTTCTGTTTTTTTTTTTTTTAAGACTTACCTCAGAGTATCTTCACAGTTCTCTTTATGGTCCTCTTTTAATGTTTACTGATGTGTGTTTATAGCCATTAAAGACCAAACTGAGTTTGTAGGACTGGATCCCCACGAGGACAGGGTTTTTGTTTGGGGGAGGTGTGGCAGGATTGTTGACAAAAGAAAAAAAAATTTTAAAGACTTGTCTGAAATATTTCTGAGCAGTAAAACAGAGGGGTCTTCTGGGCTGTGTTTAAGTCACTTGCTGGTAAGCTGTTTTGTGCCCAGATCTCCTGTGCCAAAGCAACCCTGTCATACACAAACTCCTCCTTATGCCCTACCCAAAGTTTTTTTTATGCAGACTGCCTAGGGACAGCAGTACCCCCGCTGTGTCTACAGGTATTGAAATGACGGGGCAGCACTCAGAGATGACAGTGTGCCCCTGTAACGTCAGTACTTCAACAGAGTCTACTGAATACCTTAAAACTGAAATAATTTTCACCAAATCCCACTCAGAATATGTGAGTTTTCCAAAAGAGGCTAGCTTCAGCCCTCTGGCAGCCTTGCATTTTCTCTACTGCAAAAGTCGCTATGGAAAGACAGACAGGCCACAGCAGAAGACGAGGGATACCCTCATCTCGCAAGGCGAGACACCTGTGAAATGCCACACATTTTCCTGGTAGATGACTAAGAGTTTGTTGGAGATTCAATCACAGATGGACCGCGGATGGACCGCGTTTATGCTGCCAATCTCACTTGGGAACCTGTGCCTCCAAGGGCGCAGATAATGACCCAGGAGACCAGCAGCATAGTGCTTCGAGAACGTGGGAGCCCGTCACTCCCTGAGTCTTACCACACATGTTTTGTATGGGAAGTTTAAAGCCGTCTTCTCTTTATTTCTGTGCAGGTCCTGCTAGAAAAGGAGAGTGAGAAGGATGCTTTGTTAGAGACACTACTCCAAACTCAGGGAGAGCTAAGAGAAGCCTGCCAGCAGCTGGAGCAGCTCAGGCAGGAGGTGGAAGAGCAGCGAGAGAATGGGCAGGTCAGTCTGACTGGTAGGGTGGGCTGAAGGAGCAGGCCGTTGGCAATTGGACATAAGCTGAGAGAAGCTGAGAGAGCCAGGAAACAGAGTGAAGGGCAGGAACAAGGGAATAAAAGATAAGCCCTGTGCCTGGGGAGGCTGAAGACTGAAAGCAGCACAGAGCCTGGTAAGCGCCAGAGATCAGCAACAGCAAGGAAGGGTTACAGTGGAAGCAGAGCTGGGTAGAAAAGCAGAAAGAAGTGGCTGAATGAGTGTGATTTTGAGAGAGAAGGAGAAAAAAGCTGGACCTGATGGCAGGTCCCGGTAGCTTGCTCTCCATTTGTGTTTACAGAACATCACGGAAAAGCTGCAGGCAGAACTGCAGGAAGGCCAGAGTAAGATCGAGGCCGTGGAGAATAGGCACAAGGAAGAAATGAAAACCATCAAAGAGGAACTGAATATCCTTCTTCAGCAGAGGGATGCTCTACAAAAACAGGTGACTGAAACAGCAATAGATGCTCCAGTCATCAAAGACGTGAAGTGTCTCTCCACTTCTTGCCTTTCCATTGCAGAGCAGCAGGCTGGTAGGGTAGTCCCTCTGACTGCCATCATACTGTGGTCTCCACCTCAGCTGGTCTGGAGGAGACTTACTGGCCAGCTGAATGGACAGATGGGCTAGTCCTTTTGCCTGTTTGCCAGCAATCATCAGAATGGATTTCTGCTTGTCTGTTACTGCTAGCCTTGTTTTTTAAGATGGTTTTTCCACTGAACGTGGTGACCTACTTAGATTTTTAAACAAGTTGGCTGTATCTATTCTGAGTCTGGTACTCCCATGATAGGGTGAAATTTAAAGTTGTTCTTTGCCTTTCTTCACAGTACATGATATGGCTGACAGTGACAAACCATAGTCTTTGACTGCTTTGTTATGTTTTACTTGAGGTGGAAGAGCTGACATCTCAGCTAGCAGCCTCTGAAGAGTCCCAGCAAATGATTGGCCACAAAGCTCAGCAAGATCTGAGTGAGGCACAGGAACTGTCAAGGCAGAAGGCGCTGGAGGTTATACACCTCCAGAAGATCCTGGAGGAGAAGAGGAAACAATGGGAGGAGGTAGAAAATCAGAACAAGGAGCTGCAAGTGTGTCTGCAGTCTTTGGAGGGGGAAAGGAGTCGTTGGGAAGAAGTGGAGTGTCATAACACAGAATTTCAGGCTTCGTTGAAGGTCCTAGAGAGTGAAAAAGCCAGGTAAATTAAAGCCTGTGAGACTTTAATGGATACCCTCTTTCAGATCTTTGTATATACAGTGGCTCTGGCAGCATTTCCTAAAAAGCAGAGTTCTGGACTATCTATGCAGATACCTTTCATTCTCTTGATGATGTTGTGTGTGGGTTTTTGGTTTTTTTAATCTTTCAATTACAGTTTTTCTGAAGACAGTGGCTTTTGGAATAGTTCTTTCCTTAAAAAAGAGGTGTTCTTTTGTTAGGTCAGCATGTTAATACTGTTAAATGAAATTTTCAGGGGTTTCAAACCTGGAACACAACAGGGGAGGCAGTACGAGCTGCAGTATAATGAGCTGGATAGATCCATCAGCTCCGCCCTGGGTCCAGTAAACTTTAAACATTTGGGATCTGTATCAGTCTTCCATCCTGATACCTTTAGTTGGCAGAAGCCATCTTAAAACTATGATTTTGAACTAAGCCAGACTCTGAGGCACCCAAGAAAGTTTCTTATTGCCATCTGTTTCCTCATTCCTCAAAAAATCCCAACAGGTGTCTGGAGAGGCTCAAGCAGGGTCCCTGCCAGCCTCAACAGTTACAGATGTTACTGACTGTCCAAAGAGTGCAAGAAAAAAGAGAAAGGGTAGGTAGGCCTCTTCACCTTGTAAAATCCTGCCAGTCTTCAACACATATCTTCATTGAAGAAGAGAACTAAAAGGCAGTGCACTCTTGCTTCCTCTGTGAGGGATCCTGCATCTTATATGAGGATGTGATGAAAGTAATATGGGTGCTGGCAAGTCTTATGAAACTCCCCCAAGATCACCTTGCTGTCAGTTGCTGCTGTTCCTAAGAGGACATGCAAGCTAGGGGAAGAAAATGTCTCTTCATTATTAGAGTCTCATTAATCAAAAGAAAAATTTCATCTTCCCTAATGCCTTCATTTCAAGACTTTGTTATGTTTATATTCACATCCCCATCTCAAAAAAAGGTAGGGTATTTAGCCAGTAATTCACCTCTCTTCTGTGGAAGCAAGTGTAGCAGGCACATGCTTGGATGTGCCTGTCAACCTGGCTTAGGACCGAACAAGCAGCCTAGTTGTTTAGACAAACCTCAGCAGGCAAAGCAATTTTCCCCTTGGTGGTGGAAGATCTGAGAGTTTATTAAAAGTTATACCATGTAGTAATGAGTTGCATGCTCTCTCTTTCAGGCTGACTCTGTCTCTGGAAGAGAAGGAACTGAGCCTCAGAACCCTGGAAGAAAACAACCTTGCCCAGCACAACGAGGTGTCTCAGCTTCTTTCTGCTCTTCACCAGGCCCAGCAGCTCCATTCAGACCACAGAAGAGAAATACAAGAGCTCAACAACCAGGTGACCTATGCACTAGCATCCCCTTCTCCAGGGACATAGAATACCACCTTCTGCTTGTAGTCCCCAACTTGTTTCCCCTCCTGTATTCTGCCCAGAGACTTTGCACATTGAGGTCAAGGCTGGATCTGCTATGTTCTGCCTATATTTTCCCCTATTCTTTCATGATTCACAACATTAAATCTCTGAGGAGAAACAGAAGTCTCCTCTGGAGCTTCTCAGTATCTCTGTTAGAGACGTTGTCCCCAGATGGTGTTTCTACCTCTGTCGGGCACTGAGCAGTCTGGTGAAACAGCAGTGGTCATTGCAGTCTGGGGAAGGCACTTCCACCTCAGCCAGTTCATCTGGTATTGTGGAGAGGCACCGTGAAGGATGCCCATCGGCTCCCCTTTATCCGTACTCCCAGGCATCCCTGGCAGCCTCACTCTCCGTGCAGGGATGGATGCTCCATCTACCACCTCACCGTGCCAGCCACTCTTATTTCTTCCCCCCTCTCATCCTCCACTTCTGCCTTACTAGCGGCACTGTCCCTGAGGCTCTGTGCATCCGTTACAGATACAGTCGCTGCAGGACGTAGTGCTGGAGAAGGAGGCTGGCCTGGCAACTCGAGAGAAGCAGCTGCTACAGGAGCTGGAGGAGTCCCGCGCAGACGAACGCTGCTTGAGGGACTCTCTGTGCGCGCTGGAGGCTGAGATGTCTGAACTGCGTTTGAGGCTTTGTAGCGCAGAGAACAGAGCAAAGGCGTTGGCCATCGAGTGTCAGCAGGCTAACAGTGCCCACGGTGAAGCCCGATCCCAGCTGGACAAACTGCACGTGGTTCTCCACCGCATGATCTGTGACAGCAGAGACTCTGTCACTTTGAGTTCAGGCAAGTGTGGGAGGCTGGGTGAACAACTTTATAGAGCACGTATGGGAGAGCAGATGGAGGGAGGGGTGGTTCTGAGTGATAGACTCAGCCTTTCAGTTTAGGCAGACTCAAGGCTTGGGAAGTCTTTAAAGCCTGACATCCCTGCAGAGATGAGTCCATGTTTGTATGTGGAGAAATGACCAGCATCAGAATGAAATAGGGCCCAAGTCATGTCAAGCCATAGGGCACGTGCATTCTTCCGTGGGGCAGTGCTGACATTAGTGGTCATCAAAATAATGTTAGCCTATGACACACGTCTTGTGAGCTCTAGGACGACGTCAAAGGCACTGCCACCTTCTCCTGTGTATAACAAGGCGTTTGTTGGGGACCCTTCAATTAAAGCTTGAACCAGAATGGCTTCTCTCTTCAGAACAGGGTCATGTCTGGGGCCTGACTGTTTCTCAGGCCAGGGACCTCCCTGCAGAGCTCACAGTGGACAGAGTGGCAGCAGCCCTACAAGACCTGCATCAGCACTTGAAGCAGACTCAGCAAGATCTGGTAATGTGTCTCCAGTGTGCCCAGAAACCCTGTCCTTCTGCTGGACTGAACTGACAAGCAGTGCCAAAGCCAGAATGGGTGTAAACTCCTTGTAGGGCAGGTTGGCTTGCTGCCATGGGGAGAAAGGAGAATCGTGGCCCTGTTTACCATTACTGTCCAACTGCCCCCTCCTGCCTTGGCTATTTCTGCCTTAGTGTTTGTACCTCTTTGCCTCCTGCCAGCAGTGGTGATCCTTCTCTTCTTACCTCTGCCAGAATGATGCGAGGAAGAAGATACAGGGCTTGGAGCTGGAGCTGAGCGAGAGGCAAGCTGAGAGGGACCATTTCAGTGTCCACAATCACGAGCTGCAGAAACAGTTGGCTCAAAGCCAGGAAGGTACAACTGCTCCTTTCCAACCCACAGACCCTGTCCTGTCTCACCAGCAGGGATCTCTGATACCAGACAGAGGAAAAGTGCGATGCCTGGAGACGGGAAGAGGAGAAAAACAATAAGCATGAGACTTATGTATAGAAGTACCAGCAAAAACTTGTTGTAGAGAAAAGTCCCGTGGCTGGCAGTGCATCTAGCTGTGCTGCCAGGTGAAAGATGGTGCCTTTCAGATCGCATGTCACTGCTTAGTAGGTGTAGCTTGATGCCTCGCAGCATCCTTCTCCATATGCTCTTTAAAAGCACCAGCCTGCAAAAAGCCTTGTCTTTGTTGACTTCCTTGTCCTCTTACATGGCAGATTCACGGAGCATTAGCTCAGTGTTAAGCTCCTGCATCCTTTCTTCTGCTGCTTTTCCTAGTTCTCTGGTGCCTTTGCTTCTGCATCCTTGTTTCCTGTTTTCTTGCTGATACTGATTGGGTGTCTGAGTTCACAGCCATAGCAAACACCATTTCTTACTTCCCTAGCCACTTCTTACTTACGCCTTTGGTAACATGTTCACGTTGGGTTTGTCTATAAACTGATTTTCACATGTATATAGTCACCTCTTCCTCTAATCTCCAGGCCATCCCAGAGCCTCCAGGGCTATTGGCCTCTCTATATCACAGCTGGATAGGCATCCCTGCTCCTTTCTCTGTCATTGTTTTCCCACTCTCCACATCCGTTCTTTTCTCTAAGGTCTGTTAAGTCTTCCAGGTCAATTAACTGTGTTGTAGTCAGCCTTCACTTTTGCTTCTTCTTCCTTTTCCTTCAGGACACTAGATCTGACTCTCCCCTACTGCCTCTGTCCTTGTTTCATGAGTGTTGGTTCTACCTGCTTCTAACACTGTGGGTGATGTCCTGCTATGCCCTTAACCTTGGCCTTTCAACAAGCAGAAGAGCAAACACATTTTCATACTCTTCTGAACCTTGCCACTTTCATTCTCTTTTTTTTTTTTCTCTGCCTGGAAGTTTCCTTTATTTATGTCTGCTTTGAAAGTCCTTGTGGGCTTAGGGCCTGGAAAACACAGACAGGCAGATAAGAAAATGATGTCTTCTCTGTAGGATGCAAATAAGTTTGGTTTTGCTTTGCTTTTCACCTTCTCCTTTATCTTTACTGCTGCAGAGAGACAGATGGCAGAGCACAAGAAGAACTCTCTACAGGCTGCCTTCCAGGAAGAGGCCGCTGCTCTAAAGGAGGAGGCTATGACTCTGCATCAAGAGGTGGCGTCTTTGGAAAGGAAACTCGAGACCACTGAGAAACAGAGACAGGATGTCCTGGTGAGGTTGGCAGATGCCATGAAGGGCCATTTCTTACATATTTTTTGGCCTTCTGTTAATAGTTCTAAAGAGCAGCTTTTTCCAGTGGAGAGCTGATTTTGGGCGGTCTTGTACCAGTTCAGTCCAAATCTGAGCAGATACAGAGTATGCAAATGCTGACCAAGTTTCTCTCATTTTCCACTTCCTTCCACTCACCATTCCTTGTTTCCCTGACTTTTGCTTTCCTGCCAGGCCATGTAGCTGAGTTAGCAGGGTCATCACCTTGGGTAAGAGAAGACAGTCCAGAAAGGAGAGATCGTTAGGATGACCAATATCACTGACTATGTGGAGAGACCACAGACCACTACAAAAGCAGAAGAATATTATTTATAGCAGTGGTTGTTTTTTGGTTTAACTTTTCCTGTGACATTCTTCTGAATAAGTAGGAAAAGATGCCGTAGTCATATACAACTCCGTTGTGATTCAGGGTGTGTATTTTCCTGAATTCTGAAGACTTCTGTCCTTGAAGCTTAAGTCAAAGTAATTTTCAAACTTTTCTCTATTTACATTGTGTGGTTCAAGCAATTATTTGTGTCCAAATCCTTATTTAGAGTTCTAAGTATCTGGATCTGGAAAAAGGGGTGAGAAGGCAAAGTTTACTAATAATATAAAGCTGTTCAGCATTGCCCATCTGAGAGCAGGCAGTGGGGAGAAAATAGAGAAATTTGAGAATTAGAAGTGCTGATCCAGCTAAATATGTATGTCTGTAAGGAGAAAACTAGTCCTGATTTCAAACAGAATGACAGACTGTGATCTGACCATTACTCCTTCAAGAGGGGACAGTGGCGTTCTAGAGGATGGTACCATGAAAATCCTACAGAGTAGAGGTCAAAAAAAAAAAAAAAGAAAAACATGAAGTAAATGAAGTGTTCTCTCTTCCCTTCCTAATAGAGAGAACATCATCATGGCACTGCCTAAATCATGCTTAGTCTGAACTTTACATCCTGGCTGCAGTTCTGGAGTGACAGTAGAAAATTTACATCAAACAGGGAAACCAACTGAATGGCTCGAATTTTCTACTAAAAACTCAAACTTCAGCCCTTGACTGCCACTGGAGCAGGAGTTCAAATCTAGTATAAAAACCAAACATACATATATGGAATTACTGAATCTTTTCCTCCTTGTTTTACAGCATGAACGGGACAGACTGCAAGCACTTAAAGAAAAACTGGTATGGGAGATAAAACTTCTTCAGGAATCAGTCACAGCCTCTGAAACCCGAGCAAATACAGCGACAGATATGAATCACTCCCTTGAACAAGAACTCCAGACTACATTGTCTATCTTAAAAATGAAAAATGAGGAAGTGGAAACGCAGCGGGAGAAAATCCAGATGCTAAAGAAAGAGGCAGCAGAGGTAAAAGCTTTGCAGGAGAATCTCACTCATATGACTGCCATCCTGTCAGAGAGGGAGGAAGAGACGAAGTTATACCAGGAACAGATGGGAATGCTGGAAAAGCAGAAAGAAATGCATAAAACTACTCTTGATCAGGTTATTAAGGACATAACAGAGAAAAAACAGAAGACAGAATCCCAGCAAGAGCACATACAGGAGCTGGAGAAGCGGCAAGAAGAACAAAGGATTGCTGTAAGCAAAATGAGCAAAGAGCTGGAAGAGAGAGACTGGGAGATCAGAGCCCAGCAAGAAGAGATACAGGAGCTGGAGAAGCAGCGAGAAATACAGAGGACTGCTGTGAGCAAGATGAGCAAAGAGCTGGAGGAGAGGGACCAGGAAATCAGATCTCAGCAAGAACAGATACAGGAGCTGGAGAAGCAGCAAGAATTGCAAAGGACTGCTGTGAGCAAGATGAGCAAAGAGCTGGAGGAGAGGGACCAGGAGATCGGATCCCAGCGTGAACAGATACAGGAGCTGGAGAAGCAGCAACAGATGCAGAGGACTGCTATCAGCAAGATGAGCAAAGAGCTGGAGGGGAGAGACCAGGAGATCAAATTTCAGGAGGGGAAGATAATGATTCTAGAACAACATGGTACATCAGAAGTGAGAAATCTGGTTGTGGATCTTGATCGTCTGAGAGGAAACTTGGAGGAGAGAAACTTGGAGCTTATGTCTCTGACTCAGCAGATCCAAGAACTGGAAAGGGAGAAAGAACAGGTGAAATCTCTGCACGCAAGCCTCGAACACCTGAGGGCAGCTCTTAAGGACAGAGAGAGCGAGTGTGATTCTCAAAGGCATCAGTTAAGACTCTTGCAGCAGTACAAGGAACAGCAAGAGGGGTACCTGCAAGAGCTTCACGGTAAAGTAGAAAAGATGACACTTGCTTTGTCTCAAAAAGATCAAGAGCTTGAGTCACAAGAAAAGCAAATCCAGGAAGCTGAAGAAGTCATGGAAATGCAGTTAAGGACTGTCCGTGACCAACTGGAGCAGGCCTTAGAAACCTTAAAAGAAAAGGACAGACTCATAGACACCCAAAAGCAGCAAATGAGGAGCTACGAGGAAAAACCAGAAGAACAGCTGAAGGTCTTACGCAGAGACTTAGAATACACTATGGCAATACTGAAAGAAAAGGATTTCATGATTGAATCTCAGAAGGAACTGATTGCGACCTTCCAAAAAGCAGAACAAGACTCTGGAGAGCAGAAGGAAATTCTGCAGCATCTAGAAGCGGCCCTAAAGGAGAAAGAGCAAGAAATTGTATCCCTTAGAAAGCCATGTGAGGCATGCAAGGAACAGGAGGAAAAGCATGAAGCTAAGCAAACAAATCTTCAAGCAATAAAACTGACTCTGAAAGAAAGAGAAAAAAAGATAGGGGTTCTAGAGGAGGCTATTTCTCAGCTTCAACAGCAAAAGGAGGAGGCAGTGATGCAGACTAAAGCTGTGCTGCAAAAACTGGAATATGCTGAATCTTCTCTAGAAGCTAGAGATCAACAGATAGTGTCTTTGCAAGAGCATGTCCAGCACCTTCAAGAGCAGAAGGAGTTAGAAGGCAAGCGGGCCAAGAGTCTAGAGCAGGATCTAGACAAAATGAGCCAAATACTGAAGGAGAACCATTCGGAGTTCCTCAGGCAGACAGAGCAAATGAACATGTCCCAGCTTTGTGACAAAAGCATGGAAGCAGCACTAACATCGTGCCAGAAGCAAGTGAATCTGCTTGAGGAAGTGGTGAGGAAGAAAGATGAAGACAATGAAACTCTTATGCAAAAACTCCAGCACCAAGAAGAAGAACTGAAGACCTTGCAAAATCTCCAGCTTAGGCTAACTGAGAAGAATGAAGAGGTCAGACATGACAGAGAGCAAGAGAAGCTCCTGGAAGAAGCCTTGCCTGAGAGGGAACGAGAGACCAAGGCTCAAGGTGAGCAAAAAGAAGAGGAAATAAGAGGTCTTCGTGAAGATCTCCAGCATGTTCAGCAGACTCTGACAAAGAAGGATGAAGAGATCAAGTACCAGAGAGACAGAGTCAGGTATTTAGAGAAGACTCTGACAGGGAGAGAACAAGAGCTTAGGAAGCAGAGTGAACTCCTGAAACAATTAACATCAGCTTTGAGATGGAAAGATGACAGAGAGACCCTAAAGAAACAAATTCAGAAACTCCAGAAATGGGAGGAAGAGGAAGCCGAGAAGAGGAGGGTTCTCCAGGAGAGAGACCGTTCCTTGCAAAGGCAGAAGGAGCTAACCCAACAACTGGAAGATGAGCGGAAAGCAAAGGGGGGAGAATTGGAGCGTGTGATTGCTATTTTGAGGCAGACTGAAAGCAGAGAAATTGAATGGAAAGAGAAGGCACGAGCACTGACTCTTGCCCTGACCAAGAGTGAAATGGCCAGTGGGACTCTGAGGGAAGAAATAGCCATCCTGCAGAGGATGGTTTCAGAGAGGGACACGGACCAGTTTCATCTTCAGGTAGGCACTGTGATTGATCATCAGTCAACTAAAATGTCTATAAAGGATTCAAACGATGGTTCCCATAAAGATAGAGGAATACATATTCCTGCAAATCTATGACCTGCTTGGCCACAGAAACTATGGCTGCAGCCAGCAGGCTTGCCTGTCTGTGTAGCTCTGGCCGGAGACCATTCACCTGCTGGAATGTTTTCTGTCCAGCCCAGAACTACTGACAGAACTACGGAGCTTGTTGTTAAAATTAACTCCAGGCCAAAAGCTGGGGATGGCTAGTTGTTTGTCTCCTATCTGGGCAAGCTTAGCCAACTTGCCGTGGTCAGGATTTGGCGTGGAAAGGGCATCGTTGACCAAACGAATGTACTAAACTTAGTAGAATTTTATAATGACGGCTGGAGAGCAGCTACGCTGATGGTGCTTAGAGAATGCTTTCAGAGATCTGCTGTTTCTGATTGTACATGTTCTATTAGTTGTGGACAAGCAAGAAGTTATTTGGTTACTAGTCACAAGATTATGTGGTGGTATCGCAAGATGTCTGGCAACAGTTCTGGGAAGATGAACAGTTTTCTCAAAAATAGTATGTTTCTGAAACGTTACAGACGGTTTCTGTAACTCAAGGTCCCCTTAGATTTCTGAGGTACAGCTTTTCTGATGTATTAAAAAGAACGGAATTTGTACCATTGCCTGATCAGGTTAAAGGCTTCGTTGCACGTTCAGGATGTACTTGTGCCACAGTCCAAAACGCATGAAGGCAAATTTGTGTGGATTTCTTCAAGGTGATCTGGAGGAGGCCCCTAGGAAGAGAGTGTGTTGTTTTGGCCTGTGGAGCAGGAGGAGAAGAAGGGGCTTAGCACTGTCCGTTCCTGAGTCTGGTCACTTGCCATGACCTGTTGTTTCTGGCCCTTCTCAGCTTTCAGTGGCACCAGTTCTCACGATCTCCTCTCTGTGTACCCAGCAGGCTACTGCAGAAGGGGAGCAGCTCTCCTGGCTCTCGGAGAAGAGACTCCTATCACAGCGGCTGGAATGTCTGCAGCGAGCAGTTGCAAAGCTGGAACTTGAGAAGACGGAGCTGAAGCAACTCAATGCTGAGCTCAGGAGGACTCTTGAGCAGGTGCCTCTGCAAAGCCTCACAGTCCTCTGGAACACAACACACTTCCACACATCACCCTTTGGAGTCCTCTGCTTGTTCCCTTCCCTCTCCCACTTCCCCCTGTGGACACACAGATTTGACTCTCTTGTGTCGGGAACTGTTTCCTCTTGCTTTTTCTCTTCCATAGTCTACACTGAATGCTTTTTGCCCCCAACATTCTCTGGTGCAATTAACAGTCTCTGAGTAGACATGTCCTTGCCGTGCCGTCCAAAGGTCCTTTTGCTCCTTGTTTCGTGGCAGGTTTCTGTGACACTTTCTCTTATCCAACGCACAGGTGGAACGTGAACGGAGGAGACTGAAGAGAGATTGTGGTAGTCAGTCGCTGCCAGATGCGTGCGGCTTTTCTCTCTCTGACCAGCACAAGGTGCCTGCTTCTCGACAGGTGAGAACAGCTTCGTACTCAGTGGGAGGAGGGTCTGGCCATACAGAGGAACAATGGCAAATCCCAGCTGCAGCAGCCCCCCGTACAGACCTAACAGAAGTCAAACATAAACCATGACCCTGACCACACTGGAGACTAAAAAAAGATCCTTGCATTTTCTTCACAGGAGGAGCCTCACGCTTGCTGCAGTCGATTAGCTGAGTTGCAGAACCAGGTGAGGAGTGGGAAAGCTCTCATCAGTAGCTGCTGTGGCCGTACTGCTGGGCACGACTTTGCACGATGGTACCGCCCGAGCTTGGGTTTGCCGTCAGGAAGCGAGTGCACCGGGCAGTGGAAATACCCAGTCAGATGCAGCCGTGGGCCGTGGCCAAACATCATTCACCTAGGTCTAGTCTCTGACTTGCCTAAAGGTCAGGCAGGGTGGGAGAGGGATCGGAGGAAATTCAGAAAACTAGAACACGCCTGAAAATACAGAACATTCTAAGGTTGCCTTGAGTCTTACTCATCTTGTTGATTGTTTCCATTTTCGCTTGACTCCGTTAACAGTGGAGCTTGCATCATATCAGAGCTCCAGGGATCTGAGGCAGTGCCAGAGCTTATCATCTTCAGGCAATCATTAGTCTTGTATTGCTGTTCTGTGCTAATCATGATCCCAACATCGGACCGAGTCAGAGACCTAAGCACTGTTGTATCGGTGTAAGAACATACGGTCCAGCTACTGAACCGTATTGCTTCCCTTGACAGCGGTACTGGCAGTGGCAGGCATCACCAAAATTCTCTCCCATGTACTTTTATGGGTCTGGTACACCCCAGTCTCCCTGCAGAGGTGAATCTTTACAGGTGTTCAGGGCAAAATGCGTATAATGTTTATGGGAGTAAGGTACATGATGCTTAGCTCTGGCAAGTGAGCCAGGAATACTGCTGAAGCCATCAAGGTATATTTTAAGGATGTTTTTCCCAGGAAACCTCAGTGTCTGAGGTTCTGTTGCCACACAGAGCTAACTGAACCCCCTTCCCCTTGTGACTGTTGTGTCTGCCTGCACTGTGGACCTACTTCAGCAGTTCAGAGGTACTCTCCCACCAAAAAGCCCAGCAGGCACAACTCCATGTTGTCAGAATAGAATTTGAGGAGTTTCAAGGCCTCAGTAGTCCTTTACAGCTCATTTCCCTCCTGGGGTTTGTTCATCAAATTATGCTCTGCTCATTTGTGAAATGGTCTATAGTTAGGAAAAAATCAGAGTTTGCTCCTTTTTCATAGGCTAGCTGTCAAGTTTTTAAACTAGATCATAACAGAATAGTTCTTCAGCACCTTGTGTAACCAGTAGTCCTCCCGCTGAGGAAAAAGCATGTGGAACTAGGGTGTCAGTAGCGCAAATCTCACTTTTGGAAAGAAAAAAAATTAATCATAGAATCATAGAATGGTTTGGGCTGGAAGGGACCTCAAAGCCCGTCTAGTTCCACCCCACTGCCATAGGCAGGGACACCCTCCACTCGACCAAAAGCCTTAGTTAGGTTATTAAATCCTATAGGAACCTCTGTCTCTGATATACCTGTAATGTCTTGGTGTTGTACGTATGAATGGTATGCCAGAAAGAAACTGGAATTGTTGATGATCTGAGCTGAGTTCAGGGCGACTCTGGGACTCTGGGAACCTGTTGCTTCCCCTTCCACAAGGACAACGTGTTTGTGAGGGCTGGAGTTAGCGAGTGCATCTTCCCTGGCAGCCGGTACCGTGGGGCTACGGATGGTCCTAACAGCGTGGGCTTGTCTGAGCTCGGTCTTGTGCCTCTTTCAGGTGTCCCTTCTGCAGACGCAGCTGGCACAGGAACGAAAATACAAGCAGGACTATATCGAGTGCTGTGCAAAGACCAGCCAGGAGCTGTCAGACCTTCATCAAGAGCTGTCCTACTCCTTAGCAGCTGTGGTCAGGGAGCCCAAAGCTGCTGTTCTGGAGGCAGAGACCCGGAAGCTGGATCGCTCTCTGAACCTCAACTTGGCACTAATATCTCTGGACCATCGATCTCCTGAGAGACAGCCATTGCATTCAACAGCCAGATCCGCCAGAAGTGATGACCTGAGGTAGCAGGACCAGTGTACAGTAAACAGCCTCAGGAGGAGCCAAGTTGGGGTCCTGCTGTAGCAGGGGGCCTGTGGCAGGGGGCTTGGTTCAAGGCGAGAGTCCCAACATAAGATAAAAGTTCAGAGCATAGTGGTCACTGCAGGTTCTCCAGCAGAAGCAGTGGTGGGACTAAACTGGTGCTTGCTTTGTGTGGATGGGGTCAGTCATAGGCCTGGAAAAGCAGGATGAACCTGATGAGCAGGTAAAATTTCTTCCTTTTCCACAGCACTCCGTCACAGCATGCCTTGTCAATCTCCACACAGCCCTCCACGTTAGGTTGTTCCTCTCAGTCTCTGTACTGTATACAAAGACCTTTTGTCTGGTTTTATTTTTTCAGTACACTTATTTCTCCAAAACACTGCACAGTTCCTGAGCAGAAATCTTGCAATGACGTTCTGTTGCTCCTCTGCTTTCTTCAGCAGCTGCTCCAGGTGGGCTTTCTCTGCGCAGAGCTCTTCGTTTGTTCTTTTACACAAGTTCAGCCTCTCCTGGTCAGAGATCTTTGCTCTCTCCATGTCAGCCACTTTACCTGACAGAACTTCACTCTCTTGCTCCAGCTACAATCACAGAAGGACAGAGGAAATACAATACAGTAAGATTTACTACGAAGAAGGTTTGGCTTGGGCAGAAAAAGGAGCACCATTTCCACATTCAGTCAGTCATGCTGTCGGAAGGCAAGAAGTCTGAGAAGAAGCCCCAGCTGGAGATGAATGCCTGGCAAGATCTCTGGCAACTCTGCTCACCTGCAGCACAATTTTCTTCAACTTTATCCAATGCAAGAGCTTCATTGATGCCACTCATGTTCGCTGTTGCAAGACATAGATCAGCTACTTCAGCGCTCAACTTATTCTGAGCCCCTGTCAGCTCTGCTATGGACTGCTCTGCCTGAAGAGACAGAAGAGAACATTCCTCAACTCAGGTCACAGAAACTGAATAGCAACACATGCTAAAACATCTGATAATGATGAAAACCAAGGTAAAATATGAACAAAGTCTATGCTGCAGCAGTACCTCTAGTAATAAAGTGCTCAGCGTCCATTGGTCAGCTGAGAAGAGCATCGCATCTCCTTACTCAGGAACCAGCCAGGAGGGAAGCACAGTAGAAGTGTTATCTTTTCTAGATACAATGGGGGTTAAACTTTATCAGCTCTTGGGGGTGAAACTTTATCAACTCTTGAGTCTTCCAGTTAGGTATACGGGAAATGGGAATATGGATGGATGAACAGATAAGAATTGAATTAACCCAGCAGAGCTGGACATTTTGCTTCAGTTCTCTAAAGACAGAAAAACAACTTCCCTCAATTTCCAAATTACATTTCCTTCCAGGCCTGGGGATTATGAGAAACCAGAAGGAATGCAAAGCTGTCTTTAATGACTGTGCAGAACAACTTTCACCTGGGTTGGGTACATGTGTATAAATATGGAACCAACGTCAACAGAACACGAGAACAAAGGTGTTACATAGGAGCAGAGAAAAACAGCCACACAAACAGCAGTAAGTGCAGTGAAATAATCGCACTGGGATTTCACATCATGCAGGCAGACACAAAACAAAATAAAAAGGACAAAATAACTTTTTTCTTACAAGTGGAGAGACTGTTTCGGGTTTTTTAACACAGTTTTAGTTTTTCACCACTTCCAGTGTTTCTTGTTCCCTCAGACACATGAGTATTGCATAAAGACAGGGATGAGAACTTGTGTTAAAACAAGTGAAATGCCCAACACTTACTTTGCAAAAAAATAAAGATTATCAGGAGACCATCTGAGGTCCTTTGGGCATAAAGATTACCATGGTATGAAGATATTTAAGAAACAGTTCTGGGTATTTATTGGGTAATGTGTTTTTTCTGAGAAAGTGAGATGTTAGGGGCTTGATTTTTTATTAAAAACCCTCAGGATATTTAGACTGCCAAACACAAGTGAAATGTGGTTTGAATCTATTTCAGCAGATGTTACCCTATGATGAGATAATGCACTTGCATCACCTAAGAGCATAAGATTCATAGGCTACCTGCTTCAAAACTGATTCTCGTTAGTCAATATATATGTCTGCGTTAAGACATACCTACGACATTGCCAGTAGGTAACTCAGAATATCCAAATGTGGTTGTAGGTAAGAAAACCTGATATTCAGTAACCTGATATTAAGAAGGGCCTTGGTGAGGCTCACCCACTCACACAGTATTTAAAAATGAAAAAAAAATTGGAGAGCAATTGGTGATAATCAGATTTTGGTGGCTACTCATTAGCATTTTCCTGAATAGGAAAGTAACTGAATTTAGATAATGTTAGCAAATTTGTACGTAACTTCAATCTTTTTTTCCTAGTCTAAACAGGAACTCTGATCTTCTGTGGCTTAAGGGAAGGATTTCTGCCAAGCCAAAGACAGAATCAAGGCTCGTGGATATGAGAAATGGGATGAACTCCTCTGGGCAAGGCCGCTCCCTGTCTTCTACCTGTATTCCTCTCACATTCAGCTGGTGCTGTCAGAGCTCGCCTGATGATGAGTACTAGAATCTATAAAGCATTATTTCAGGCAAATTATTTCTGGGGACAAAACATGAGTATGCAACAACAAAAACAGGCCAGGAGAGAGATCTGTGTATGGAAAAGGAAGACCAAACAGGAAATGAATAATCCCTGAAAAATAAGACTTCTTCTGGAACACATCTATCCTAGAGCAGCTACTTAAATACAGTAAAAGGACATAAAGGTTGAGCTACACACGACTAAAGTAACATAACTAAACCAAAATAAAATTGCACCTTATTCAGTGCTGGTTCTGGTTTGCATGTCTGTTAGCCCCCTGTCTTCTTTTACTTCTTACTCTGTTTTCTGAAAAAAGCAATTTCAACTTGCTTCTACCCAGGAGAGGAGTCACAGTTTTGAAGATGTGAACACTAAGCACATGACAACAGTTCAGCAGCTCAGGTCAGAATTACATTTACGGTCAGATTTACAAAGCGCTTCTGATTAGGACCCTTCGCACTGCCACGAAGATGCCTGTGCAGGTTCCCTGGCTGGACACCTCTTAAACAACAGCAACAGAAGTGGAGAGTAACAGCATAAGAAACTGAAAAGCTGGTGTGCTAGCTTCAGTATTTGAATAGCACCACAAAATAAAAGTATGGACTCGGGACTAACCATCAGTTTACAAACATGGTGTAGCTCCTCTGACATGAGGCAAGAAGAGTGGTGGAATGGAACGAACTTTCCATAGTACTGACATTCACCCCTCCTGTTCTCTACTGATTGAAATCAGTAGGGAACAGAAGGCAGGAGCAAAAATGCTGTCAGTCATCACAGTTTTGTGCCAAATAGGTCTAGTAAAATTACCATTTTTTATAGGATTGTTAATGTGGTTTGTGATGATAACAGTTTGAAATATTCATACTTCTCTTAGACATTCAGCTTCATCCTGCACGACATTCTGTTAAGTGTATTAATGGGACGGAGCGTTAATGTAGACCTTATTAAAGGGATCAAAAAATCACACGCATGTAAGTTCTTGTGTTGAATTATGATCCAAACAAGATATATCCAGGGGAGCTCACAGAACTTTGACCAGTACTGGTCAAGATCTTTATCTGTAATTAAAGGGGAAAACCCCCTCCTTCTGTAAAGTTTAAAAAAAAAAAAAAATTATGAATAAAGGTTATACTTAGGCAGAAAACAGTCTCAGTTTCATGTACAAAAAAACCCTAACCCAGCTCTGAGCTGTCCATTTCCCTCGGGGGTCGGGGAAAACTCCTTGGTTGTTGGTTGGTGCCATGAAGATGTTGCCCAGGAAAAGGTGGGGAAAAAACAAAAAAGGGGAGGGGAATCTAATGTTACGAATAACTAGGAAAGCAAGAGGGGGCAAAAGGAAGACAATCATGCCACTGCCTATGTAATGCTTAGCCTGGATTTTAATCCTGGGTGCAGTCTTGTACCTCCAGACAGAGCCGAACTGAAAGGCTCAGAGAAATCCAGCAAGGAAGCTCGGAGGTCCAATCGCTTCAGCAAAGGACCATCTGCGTAAGCTGGAACTCTTCAGCGGGGGAAAGATGTGGCCTGTAGGCTGGCACAGGAAAGGTCTACGACATCCTGAGAGGGAGGGAGAGAGCGGGCAGCGAATGTTCACTCTTCCAACAGAGGATCGAGGGCTGTCAAATACAGCTAGTGGGAGCAAGCGAGGGGAGGTGGTTTTTCTCACAGCAGAGCAGACCTGCTGAGCGCCTTGCAGCAGGGTGTTGTAAATGCAAAATGTTTACACGGGTTTGTGGTGAGATGGGAAAAGACAGACCTGAAAGACAGCCACTGAGGGACCGCAATAGGCCATAACAGACTCAGGAGAGAGCTGAAAACAGTTGCACATGGAGAAAAAGTATTAGAAGCCTTTATTAATAATTATTTAATGTGACAGAATTCCCAGACAGTGGAAAGTTTATCTGCCCATCATCCCTCCTCCTACTTCTTTTCACTGTCCTCAAAACATTAATATTCCTAACTCTGCCTTCCAAAGGTTTGCAGTAACTATATCATCCTTTCTGGTTTTTACCTGTATTTTCCCCAGTGTAAGCCCTTCATTTTTCCGTTCAGTTGTGCAAGACTTGTGGGGCACATGCAATTAGAGAGCTATCCTGACCTCATCCCCTCCCCTACGTACTCCAAGTACTTGCTCTCAGGACAGCCAGCTTGTGTTCGTGCCGATTAGAGAACAGATGCAATGTAGAGATGTATCTCATTGACTTGGATACGTGCTGTGAAGTTGTAAATCCTGGCTGTAGTAAGGTTGCTGATGTCATGCTAATTTAAGCACATAAAGCAAGTTCTGCGGGAAGAAGTGAAATATTTCATTAGAATAACTAATATTGTGGGGAAAAACAGGCAACGTTTTTGCACAAAAGTGTTTCTTCATTTCATCTTTAGAAACTGTACCCATGATGATGCTCAAATCACAATGCCTGGCTTCATGAGTAAAA